AAACTCCTAGTATCCCCCTTAATTTCGACTACAATTCCCCCCTATATATAGCTTTGGCATTTTTCAGCCTTCGGGGAATCAAACCATTAAAAAAGGGGCTTCCCAGAATTGATAGTATTTTGCGTTTAAACCCCAGTGCCCATTTGATTTTTAGTTCTTTTCCAAACCCTAGACCTTCGAACCCTAAACCCTTAACCCCATACGGGGACTGTTGTTTGGGAACGCATGGTTAGCAGGGAGCGAGGGAAGATAACCCCTATCATGGGCAGTTCAATGGAAACAAATCATGGAAAATGAAGTGGAAACCTGGGGTTTATAGCCAGTTAGCAGGCAACACTAAACTCTAAACCCTAAAGTCCTTATATGAGCTACTGTCAATATTTGCTTTACCAAGGGGCCATTAAGGGTTGACATAGAGACCCTCTTGTAGTTTTGTATAGCCCCTAATATAGTTCCCAATAAGGAACCCATGTCCATTAAATTGGGTAGGACATATTGACTGTAGCTCATATAATCCTCGACAAGGTATGCCGGCCTCAGCGCTACGGTCGCAAAGCATACGGCGCATTCCTGCCACAGGCTCAGTTGTCGTCAGCGGGCATGAAAGGTTTCCACTAAGGGTCCAAGGACCCAAATAACAGGATTTTGGGGCCCAAATACCATTCATATTGTAGTATGTGTGCCCTAAAACCGTATTAGTTGGGTCCTTGGACCCTTAGGGGAAAGGTTCAGGGGTTGATGCTTTCCGTTTTGGCTTCCAAGTCCTGAACCCTCAATCACAAAATCTAACGCTGAACCCTGAACCCTAAGCCTTAAATCCTACATTCTAAGGCCTCTTGGCATGCAGTTCGGGGTTAGGATTTGGTATTTAGGGCGTAGGGTTTACAGCTTAGGATTTAGGGTTTTTAGGGCTTAGAGTGGGGTGTTCATGGTTCAGGGTTTGGAAGTTAGGGTGTAGGACTTGGGGTGCCTCACATACTGTTCTTCCGGGGAGGCCCAGGAGTAACCAGAATCCCAGTATATGTTAGCTTCAGTAGTTCTAGCACTGCTATCACCTCATACGAGACTTGGGGATCACACTTGGGTTAGACGTGAAAATACAAGTAGGCTATGATTACCCATGGACCTCCAACTAGGGTTTCAATGACCCTAAACCCTTCTCCCAAAGCCTGAACCCTGAACCCTAAACTGACCCTAAGCCCCAAACCGTCTTGGGTTGTGGGGCTTGCGGTTCAGGGATGGGTATGAGGAGAAAAAATCGCTACACGTCCTAAATCTGCTTTCCTAAGCCCCAGTTTGGTGTTAATCCCTTCCAGCTAATATTTAGCCCCAAGTAGCAAATATTCCATTAAATATACGACATAATGGGAGTACTTAATAGCAGGGGGGGGGTGGGGTGTTTAATATTAGGGGAAGGGGGATTAAGGGTTCAGGGGTCCAGGTTGCTCCAGGCAGGTCTTACCTAGAAAGCCAGTCGCCCAAGCGGTTCAGGGTTTAGGGTTTACAGTAGGGATGGGTTTGGGTTTAGAATTTAGGATTTAGGGTTAAGGGTTAAGGTTTTTAGAGTGGCCTAGAAGTCAGTAGCAAGGGGGGTAAGTAGGGCTATAAGTTCCACACCGTAAGTTGCCGTTACGAGAAAAGTATACATGACTCTTGTAAAATCTTGGGGCACCACCCGTCATAATATTGAGCCCTAAACCTGACCCCCAAGCGCTTGGACCCTTAATAAAGCCTGAGCCCTAAACCCTACAGCCTAAAGCCTAAGCCTAAACCCTGCCCTAAGCCTTCAAGCTATGCGGTGACAAGGTTTCTACTTCGCAGCCTTCCATGAAACTAAGAAGTTCTCTCCGGAGGCCAAGATTTTAGGGCTTTGGGGCAAAGGTTCAAGGTTAAAGGTTCAGAGTTTCGGGTTGGTGCTCTTTGCGAGGATTGCGGAGGGTGACAGTCTAAACTGTCCCCGTGCTTAACCTACTCAATTGCCAAGTGATTGTGATCCTAAACCCTGAACTCTAAAGAGTACAGTCGTCTCCCCATTGTCTTCTAAACCCTATAAGCCCTAAGCCCTAAGTCTGCGAAGCGTGGTGACTTCTTGAGGGGTTTGTTTTGACTGCTTCTGTAGGGGTGCTGCGGAGAGGTTGCTGTTTGCTGTTTGCTCATTGTAAGTGTGAGCGGCTGAGGGGAGTCTTCTTTGGCCTTACGGATACTCGTATTCTGGTGCAGCTAGAAAAAGGCCGACAAAAAAACTAAGTCTCTCTGAACTTCCACGTAGACCCTAGAGACGGTGAACCGGCTGTTCGGATGAACCTGGAGATGAAGGGATTTCAAAACTCTGTTTCAATTTTGGGCTACACTCCTGGAAACTAACATGGAAACCCAAAAGGGGCCCTATAAAGACTACAGTCCCTCTAAAATGGGGCTACAAGGGTTTCCATGTTAGTTTGGGGGAGTGTACGGTTTAGGGTTTAGGGCTACCCTGAAGGTTTAGGGTTTGGGGTTCAGGGCCGGTGTAAGGTTTTGGGGTGTCTATCTCGGGTTTAGGGGCTGGGTGAGCCCTGAAGCTAGTTTTGGGCTAAGGGTTTGAGGGTTAAGTGTATACAGGGGACCCAAGAAAGGGCCGCATTCTTGGCAAAGTTCCAGACCTAGTTGACTATGAGATTTGTGCTATGCGTGCCTTTCATGGCGGAAAAAATGTGGCTTCAAAGTCCCGCACAAGGTAATCTTGGGATTTCTAAGTACCGTTGTGCAAAACAGGGGAACCCTATACCCGAAAACTAAATCCTAAACTAAACTGCCTGCCATGATTCTTAGCTAATATGATCTCCAGGAAAGCCTTAGATGAAGCCTTAGAGTTTAGGGTTTACTCGCTAAAGCGTTGGTGTCTTAATGTACCCAGTAGCAGCCATCGTCCCTGAAACCTGAACCCTACGCCCTAGACCTTATAGCTATCGGGTGCAGACTGCCAAGCGGCACTCACGTGGAGCCACAGAGGCTACCTCCACCACAAAGTTTGACCCCAAATGCCCAAACAGCACACAGTGGATCGGTGTCTCCAACGCATAGGGTCTACAATTTAAGGATTCCAGGAACATGTGGGAATTGTACGGGATTACAGAGCTTAGGGTCTAGAATTTAGGGTATCAGGTAAGCCCAGGGGCATTGGACATGAAAAGGGATTACAGGACTTAGGATCTACAATTTAGGGTCTCGGGTAGGGGCTATTTATGGTCAGGACAAGCTTTGAAGAGCCCGGGGCACATCTGACTGCCGGCTTTAAAACGGACACCAGGCCCCCCGTTTTCACCCATGCAATCACTTGCAGAACAGCCCCTACAAAACCCCAACGTGTACCTCAACCGCCTTGTGGTATCCATCTATCTATCCCAAAAAAACTTCTATACGCGTTTGTATCTGCATCCATATGTATGTCTACATATGGATGTGCCTAGGGTTTCTAGGGCCGAGCATCCTTTCCTGATCAACCCCTGTATCCTCCCAGCTCATGATTCGGGAGTTGTTAAAGCGGCAATCAAACATTCCTTGGGTTGAGCCCCAGTATTCCCTCATCAATCTCAGGTTTTCCCCTGACCTCTAACGCTATGCCTTCAACCAGCCAAGAGCAGTTATCACCCATAGACTTCAGAGTCCGAAGTAGTTTGCATGCATAGACATGGTTGTATACATATATCCTCTTTGGCCCCCAGATTGGGCTATCCGTACTTTCAGGCCCTAAGCCCGAAATCCTAAATCCCTAAGCATCCAAAAGGGCCAGAGTCGGCTACAGCGGATAGCCTGGGACCCTCGGCATGGTTGCGAAGGCTGTGATGAGGTGAACGGACGGAACCCAGCATGAGCCTAGATTTAGGGTTAAGCTTTAAGGGTTTAGGGTTAAGGTTTTAGAGTTTAGGGTCTGGGGTTTAGGGTTTCAGGGTTTCAGGCTTGCACCCCTAGGGTTATACCCCAGGGTTTGGGGATCCTTTTAAGGGAGATGTAGGAGACTACATTGGCTGATATAAAGGCTATATGCGCAGGCCATATTGGGAAAACCTTTTAAGGGGACATTAGGGGTGCAACCCTGGAACCCTTGATATTAGGGTTTATGGTTTAGGGTTTAGGGTTTCTGGCTATTACAATTACTTTTGCTATTACTGTTACCATTACTAGTACTATTACTGTAGTACCATAATTCCCAAGGTTTTGGGTACATAGGAAAATGCAGGGCTTTTTCTATCAACGGTAAGGATGTATAAAGTCGCTTCCAGAGAGCTTTGAGGGATTGCTTGGCCGATTGGTTCCACTTTTGCTGTTATCAACTTCGCCTGCGAGGGTCCGAGCCCTAAAGCCAAAACCCTAAACCCTAGACCCTATACCCTACCTGTGTAGCCAAACACCCTGAAAGAATAGGTCGCAGCCAGTCTTGGGATAGGGATTGGGCGTTTGCTTCAGGATTGGTCGTTTCAGGGGTATAAGGATTGTGGCTACATGAGCTCAAATGAAAGAGAACCGGCTGACACGTGAACACATGGCCCCACAGTGCCTGTGCATGTCCCATGAAGTAAACCTTTCAATCATAAATCTTTCACTTGAAACAAAATACCCACAACCTTGCAGCCCCATATCGAAAAAAATCATTTAGCCACGATCGTAGCAAGCAAGGTCGCCTGCGTGAACCACCCCATACATTATCCCAAGCAATCCCAAACAACCCTACAAAGAATAGAATGGGCCGATGTTTTGGCCGGCATGGACGAGATCGAGTCGATCATCCTGAGGACTGCCTCACTGCCTGGGATGAGCCCGGGGAGTCATTGGGGTTCAACTTTGGGATTTGGATTCGAAAGAAATCTGTAACGTAATCACACCTGAACGAGTTGGACTGTGTACCTGTATGCAAAGCTTGTTAATATTGCGAGCTTTTGCAGACCCCGTGAAAAATGGTAGCTTATAAACATCATCAAATCAAAGATGCAAATAACATTGCTGCCGGAATGCTGTACAGAACGTCAGAGCCACGAGAGGTCCAGGGAGAAAATTTCTTCTTTGTCTAGCAGTGTCTGAACCCATGCGTCATAACGTTGAAGAGTCTTCACGGCAACAGCTCTCGGGTTGACCCTTCTGGACAAACGTGCCGTTTGCCCAACAAAGTCTTCGGACATGAAGGTCGCTTCAGCACAGGGGTTAATGGCGGTACCAGCTGACAGCCATTGATCCTTCACGGTTAAGAATACATGGTTCAGGTAGTGGATTTTGGGACGGTATTTGAAAAGACATAGCTGCATGTCATAGCTCATGGTCGCCAGCGTTTGGTAACCTGAAAGGAAAGTGTGTCCTGCTTTGATGACGAACAAGCAATCGTCTGAAGCCGTAAAATAGTCTGATGTCAACATTTTTTTCATGGCGTTGCCCATCGCGAGCGCTGCCAGCAGGATCTGAGACAACATGCTATCACGTCGTACATGCTCATGATGGGCAGGGAGCTGCAAGAGCCAAATGATAAAGCGCATCAGCGATGCTGTGTCCATGTTCTTGCTCCAATGGCCTTCGGGATATTCTCGCGTTCCAGAATACCCAAGAGTATCTTCAGTCAGATTGCGCCCAAGGTGTAAAGTCACATGGCAATCTTGAAGAAACGTGTGAAGGAAAGAATTCAGGTGCTCAAGGTTCTTCGGGAAGGATTTGAGATTGAAAACTTGTTTCATGATGTACACGAGGGAGCTTCCAATAAAATCTTTGCCGACACCAGCATGAAACACATGAAAAAGATCTGGGCGGAAAAATGCCGGCAAATCATCTTCAGGAATCAGTATGTAGTGAAGCAGGGGCCCAGGTCCAGACGCTGCAGGCCAAGGCAGCGGAATATTGTTGATCCCCTGAGTGGCAATCCAAGACGGGTCTGTGTAGCCGAGATGTTCGAACGGGTAGTTCTCCGCGGATGTTTCCTTGCCGGCCTGACAAAGCCAGCAACAGCCTTTCTGATCTCTCGTGGAGCTGTGAGTTTTCCGCACATTGTTGAAGGTCCGATCTAAATGACCAACTTTTTTCACAAAAGGAGAGTCACCTGTAAATCCTAGGACACAAACGCGCCATGTCTCGCCATTCATTTCGAACCCATCGGAAAGTAGCGACTGTAGTTTTTGGCCCCAAAGGTGCATAAGGGAATCAAACGCGCCAGAGTCCAGTTTTCCAATTTGGCTGCTGATCACACTGAAGAGAAAACGCGTGGAGCCGGAGTTGCCCATCATGTTGATACCCAGTACAGGCTGCTCGTTGTTTTTTCGCTTGCGGTTGAGGTCAACTGGCTTCAGCCGCGTGCCAGATCCCAAACAAGGAAACATGGAAAAGATTTCAATTGCCTCTTTTTTGAATCCCCGTCCACCATCTCCATGCAAATAATAGGGTATGACTTTGCAAAGATCCATGTACTGGTTGTAGATGGGATGGTCCGGAAAAATCAATCTATGGTGTGCCCAGAATTGCTCAAGCCCTGCCTTGGCATCGTCGACTGGCAATCCCGATACCCGATGAAAGAAACCTTTCGCACCCAAGAGTTCCAAAAATTCTCGGGGCTCCAAATATGGATAACGCAAAGTGTTGCCCACCCTCGTAGTACGAATATTGATGCCACTCAGAAGCCCTGATTCACGAAGCACAGCATAAAGAGGTGCATCCGCGCTAGAAGCTTTGACGCCTGCAATTTTCTCCAAAACTGCGCAAGGATCTTTGCGGCTGGCGGCCTTCGCATCTTCCACGAGGTCTTTGGCTGGGACCTTGGCGAAACAAAGCACGCAGAGGAGAATGTCAGATTTCTTTAATCAGCTCATTTGGAGGCCGTCACAGAAAACATGATTGCAGTAAACACGTCATTTCGGCAACGCTCAGCAGTGTGCAATCACACGTCGATGAAACAGGCTACTTTGAACCATGTGCGCTACCCCAGGACAGGTTCTTTTTGAGCAGCATTTGTAGCCGCGCAGTAGGCAAAATAAGGAGGAGGAAAGCGTGGATTGAAGAACTTGTCTCGCATGCTCTCACCCCCAAGTTGTTTGTTCCGGCAGCACCGCTGGTCATCATAGAATTCAGCAATAAGGGCAGCTTCTAGCATTTCCAGCATACCAAGGAGATCTACTCGGCTCACCTTGTGGATGATAATGAACTCCTTGAAGTTTTGTAGCAAGTAGCTATCGCGTCTTTGAAGCGGGTTGGACGTCAGCCCAATCTTGAAGATACACAGCTTCAGGCCACCACATTGTTCTCGAATTTGGTTGATTTCGCGTATGCAATGCCACAAAATCTTGCAAGCGGTATGCGTTTCCGGAACCGTCCGTATGCTGAGGCCACGTGTGATATCTGCACCGACGGGCGTACTCTCCACAAGGCGCCCAGCGGATGAGCAGGTAGACAAAGAAGCATCTTCGTCGGAGTCACTCCATGGGTAGATGTCTAGCTTCCGCATGCCTACGCAGAACCCTATCAGAAGCCATCACATATGCATAGGAGTCACAAGGCATTTGCAGCTCAATATGCGTGCAAACCCACACTCAGCCCCCACGCCCTTCAACCAGTAAATGCCCTAATTTCGATCACGCAGGTTCGCTGAAAATCACGCAGCTGCCCGGGGCCCCGACGCCTTTGGCATATTTCTTCACAATCAGGAATGCTTGTTCGCTCACATTGGGCACAATGCTGTCTCCACCTGCGACGCGTGGGTGCTAGCTTGTTCCTGAACAATGTGGGAGTGACATGAACCTGCCTTTGTTTCACGGGATCGGGGCAGGGATTTCCAGGCTAGTTATAGGGGTTTTACAATTCAGGAATTGACGTAAATCTAATTCAACACAGTGCTCAAAATACATGTAAGAAAGCTCCACTTGCAATGCTACAAAGGTTTCACTAAAAATGATCACTTGGCAAGGCATCAAAATCTTTCTAAACTACCCTCCCATTATACACCCTACCTTCCGCTCATAGTATGTATATATATATGACTATATATAATGGGGACCTGACCTAAAAACTCGCACCTTCTTCCCTTTGCCCGTGCTTTGATCCGAACTGTGGCTTGCTAGAGGTAACGATGGCAGACTAGAGAGCCCATGAAAAGTAGGTGTGTAGCTACAGGCCTCTATTTGTCTCCAGTAGGGCTCCATAGTCTAAACTCAAGCAGGCTAGTGAGCTAATGTGTGACACGGCTGCATGCACACGCGAGTAGACACACGTGTGGAAACAGAACCTACGCATTCAAATTGGTCACAGAGCGGGCCTCTTCCCCCAGAATGTGAGTACGAAACTCCCTGTATGGATTTTTATCAGACTCATATCAGGCTGGATAGGTAATCCACTTTGATCTGCAAGAGGCCCGATACCCTGCGAAAGGTCGAAGGGTGCATGTTTGACATCACCCAAAACTTGCTTTGGCCGTGGCCTTCGAAATCCCAGGTGTTTAACACACAAACCAACCGGCTTGACCCAGCTAGGTGGCGAATGGGCAATGCATCGAGATCAGTCCTTGCTCTCAGACTCCGCATGCTTTGCCTTCTTGCGAAGCTGCGTAAGGGATTGCCTGCGTCAGGATTTGTTAGCGGGTGTGAAGTTGCATGGTTTTTAGGGTGAACTTGTAAGGCGAGGGTTATAATGGGGCTTCTGTAGTGTGGATGGTAACCAGTATATACCGATACCGGGCTTCTCGCACAATGGGCGAACGCGACTATTTATGTACCAACATACCCTTCCCCAACAAAAAAACACCCAGGACCTACGTATGGCGCATCATCTAAAACGTTTCGAAGAACCCTATAAACTCTCGACCCTATAAACCCTATATACAAACCTTATGGCCGTCGCCCAAGTACATCCCCAACCTGGCCCGGATGCCTGATTTCTTGAAAAGTAGGCTGGGGGGTGAACAAAGCAGTTCGACCACTTTTCAAAAAACAGGGACATGTTATACTATTTACCCTATGTATAAACCGTATATATACCCTATATGTCCCCTACACAGACCTTATATAAACCCTGCATGAGCCCTAAAAGCCCTCTAAATTCTACACACGCTGTGAAAAACCATATATACGCCCATAAACCCTACCTGCGTGAACAATGTTTCTTCTAATTGCGCCTCTGGGACGCTTCGAGGCTGGTGGCCCTCGACATCCTCGGGAAATTTCAAGAGGCAAACGTTGTGGCCCCAGAGAATTGGAGAGCGCACAAACACATGTTGTAAAAAAGTACATTGCAGCAAAGCATCAGCTTCTGAGCTTTCTTGAACAAGTTTTGGCATTCATTGGACAACCTCAGTCCGGCAATGTTTTGTCTGCGTGGCAGAACAACCCATCATATTCTAAGAGCTCTCCGTTGTCCTTATGTAACTGAAATGCTGCCTTAGTAGCTTCTCAGGAAGTCCAGTGATCTTCCCCTCCGCTTTGGCTTCCGCAAGCTCATCGTACAGATTCTCAAACTCCTTCACCATGCCATCCAACTTGCGAAGCGGCCTGAGACACTGAGGTTGGCCAACGCTTTATGGTGGTATGTGTGGGGGCCCAGGAAGACAGACAAGTTCGAATAGTGATAGCTACGAAATCTTCAGCCTAGCAGCTCAGCGCAGCTGCTGTTACCGCCGGCAGCAGATCGCATCTTCTCGGTAAAGGTAGACAGAGCGTTCTTGGCCTTCAAGGTCTCCCTCAAGTAGGCAGTAACCTGCGTACCAACCTGAGATGCGAATGTCATGGCACTGGGGGGCTGAATGAAACAAGCTTGCTTCATGAAATTTGTTTAAGTTTATATAGAAGTGCAGAGCTGAATATGCTGGTAACACTCTTCGCAGAATCGCCTTCCACATCGTTCGTGCCGCGGTGAATGAAGTCATCGTTGGGATCAAGGTTCATCTCGTTGAGGTCGACAAGCGGAACATGCTCTAGCTGAGTTCCACCCTCACCCTCGTACTTCTAGTTGACACATAGCATTTCGAGATCCTCCTGGGTTAAGGTTCCCTCGGTACGATAGTTTACCCAATACTCCAGGGTCTCATCGTCATACTCGCACTCATCGTCATACTCGCATGTCCTGGGATGTGAAAAAAATTATAGGGTTCTGCAGGGCTTCGCAGGCTTGAGGTGAATCAAGTTAATATGTTTTGATGATTTGCTAGTGTGGATTTTGGGCAGTGTGGAGCATGGCTGGAGTGTGTACCTGGGGCGCACAAAGAATTCTGGAAAAGGAGTGAAGGAAATTGAGCATTTGAGGGTCTCAATTATACAATCCCCATACACTATCCTGCCAACTTCCCTATATAATACATATTTGCCCTATATATACGCCATGTCGTAGTATATTGGGAACTTATGTTATATAGAGGAGTGGGGGGCTCATTATAATTTCGAGGATGTGAGGGTCAAGTGAATTGGCTGCAGCAGCCTGGAGCCCCGAAAAACAACAATAAGAATGGAACCTGTGTTCTTAAGTCGATGTGCGGATTCAAGGTTTGTTTACAGAAAAGCTTGGGACCTTTTTAGTTTATGTGTTGTAGAAAGATTTGTTGGGCACATGGCATAACGTGGCCTACCTTAAACTTCCAAACTTGCTAGGGTAGAATGATTGGTCCTTCACTATACAAACCCCAAGCCCCAAACTGCAGGAAAACCTGAAGCCCTAAACCCCAAACCTGATAAACCCTATATACACCCCAACCCTATAAATCCTATATCCCTGAAGGAAAGAAACACATTTTTTATAGACCCAATCTCAAATCAAAGCTCTCGATTGAGTAAGTTCCATGCATGCCCTATCGAAAGTAGCGCGAAACCCAGCCCTTTCACCAAGATGCCGCACCAGGTTCTTGGACTCCGCCCACTTGACGATCTTCTCGACGCGGGTCCTGGGCCCATGGGTGGAAGTGAAGTGGGTGTATCTATGTAGTTAATTTTGGGGATTATAGGGTTTATATTTAGGGTTTGCACGAGGGTGTATAGGGATGCCTGAAGGTCACAAAAGAGGGTTGGAACAAACAGACCTGCGTGTGAGTAAGTGCTATCTAGTAGCTCAGAGTAGCCAAGCTCCTTGCGCATGTCTTCGCGGCTGTAGAATCCACCTTTAATCTCAATCTTGCGTGCTCTCGTGCGCTTGCAGAAGATCTCCACAGTCTGCATAAAGACGGCCTGCGCATTTAAATAAATGTGCATACGAACCTGGAACAACTACATGTATACTTTCTCGAAACGCATGCCAATGTGGAAATGGCCTTTACGCCGCCGCTTTTCGCCCACATGGAGAACACCTCCTGTCGGCCCTTCTTGACATCCTGCCACATCTCAAAGATGGACTCCGGCACTTCGAGGTTGCCGGACCCGGACTTCGGGCAAACAACACGAGCAATCTTTGCTTTCTCTCCCTTTGGCAAATTCTTCGCATCCAACACCTTGGGGACCTCCTTATCCAGGCTAGGGCTCTCAGACGCGGCAAAGGGGCTTGGGGACCTCTCTCGCTTTGTAGCAGGCCTGCTTGAGGGGAGGGACGAGGTTGGACTTTGACTTGCAACCTCAGCTAGGGGAATATCTTCATCAAAACTGAACAGGCATGATTTTGTTTTCGACAATTGTATGTAGAACCCAGCCACCATTGCAAGACATGTAGCCTGAGCCGGCTCAGAACTTGACACGGGGACAGGCGGAACTCCATTGTTCTGCAACGTCTTGATCATAGCAGCCTGCTCCTGGATGATGCGCTGGAGGTCGGCAAAGTTTGCCATCATATCCTTAACAAGAGCTGCTTGGAGACTGCATCGCACACAAGATCGAAAGCTAAACAGGGCCTTATATAAACGCAGGATAAAGAATCCGTGTTCTCTGCTGCTTGCGTCTTCTTGGGCTCCGTTGATGATGCGCCGCTGGAAGGCGGTGATGGCAGGGCTGGCGGTGGGGCAGCGCGGCGGGGAGAAGGCGTGTGAGCAAGCTCCTGCTTCACCTGTGCGTGCGGATTGGGCGATGGGTATACACAGGCTATCCACAGGTGGGAAACAAAAGTGCAGGTAGAGTGCATGACGTATCGCCTTTGCATTTGCCGTAGCTTGAGAATCTGAAGCTGCCTGGGTAGCCTGGTCGGCCGCATTGGATGTTGCCTTCACTTCCAGGGCCTTCTTGATCTCCTGCACGCAATTACATCAAATACTATTGGGGTGCTATGAAAAACCAGGTAAATTACGAAAAGCCGTCCTTGGCCAAGGTTTGAAGGGAGTCTTCTGTGGAGTTGTTGTTCAGCATGAAAGACAAGCCGGCAAGCAGCGTCTCTGCTGAGTGAACATCCCTACGCAAAGCCATGGCCGTAAAGGAAATCAATGCACCAGCTGGGCTCGAAAGTTTCGAGGCCGAGGCTCGGAGAAACAAACATGAAACGTTCAAATCCGAAGCAAAAACGTACTAAAACAGAAATGAGGTGTTTCCCGGATGGGATTGCCTGTGGCTCACATGAGATTGAGTGTTTCCTGGGTGGAATTGGTTGTTTGGATTTTCGGGAATTCGAAAAACTCAACATAAATCAAACCAGAGCAAACTTTTCGAATGATTTCATGGAAAATTCGAATTTCCAAGCCCGAAACCGAACAATAAACAGATTAAATAGGTATGCAAGTAGAAATTTCGGGTTTCGGGTTTGGAAATTCGAGTTTCGCGGGCTTTGAGACTCGGGATTTCGGGCTTCATGTCAGGGTTTCGAGTTTTATTTAAGCTTTCGGGTTTCGAGTTTTGTTGTTTCGGGCCTTGCAGTTTTCGGGTTTCGAGCCTTGATCTTCGGGGTTTTGGGCTGCATGCTAATTAAGGAGAGTCAGGTGTTATACACTTCGGGGTTTTGGGCCTCAAGCTTCGGGCTTTTGGGTTTCAAGAGCTTCAGGCGTCAGATTGCGGTTTGTAAGTGGATTTCGAGTTTCGCCCTTTTCGGGTGTCAAGTGTTGCTGGAGCTTTCCGCAGCACGCTTTCTCCAATATGGTCTTATTCTTCTTGCATGGACTTACTCGGGAAACGTAATGGGGTTTGAAGGATCTAGCTTGCTTTAAATTGAGGCTGGGGCTCGATGCAGAATCCTGTATCTAGCTATACCGTGGCCGGAACCATGTTGGAGCTTCGGGGTGTAATCGAGAGTATAGCCTGGCAGGTTCGGAGTCCCGGTTTGGAGCTTTAATTGAGTTTTGTTATTGTATGCTACACGCAGGCGAGACTTTACCTACGTAGGTATAGGAGCGCCCCTAGTATGAAAATGTTCATGTGCTGGGTTATATAGAAACCAAGTCAGCATAGTCAGCATGTGGAAGAAGTTTGAGGCAGGGCTTCATATAGATAGGATTCCTATAGGGAAATTAACCACCTCCCCATGCTATATTTTAGGGCGCATTTGACTCCCCTTTATAATGATTATTCCGCATACATAAGTTGGTACCATGTACCTCTATATGGCTGTACATTGGGGAGGTGGGGGGCCTTATATACCTATATAGGGGACTCCACGATGTTTTGGCTCCATTGCACAATCTAGCATATGCAAAGTATGAACACGAGGCCCCTATAGCACTTGAACGAGAATCTTTTGCTACTTCTGTCAATACGATAATCTCTTCGATTTTGCTTTGACTACATACTCGGTAGCTGCAGTATGGTAGTTTAAATGCATAGCAAGTGCGCGATTCCATCATCAACAAGTGTTTCTACGCCAGCCCCAATCAAGATGTCGAACACCCACCTGAGAAGGTAACCTCTCGAAAGCCTGCCTAAACCTTGCCAGTGTGGGAACTATATGACCCTATCTCAACCTTCTATATATACACTATACATACCCGACCGTCTCCAAGGCATTTCGCTGCAGGCATCCCATGCAGATCAGGTTCCTGAAGGACAGCTGGCTTTAAGCCGCGTGCATCCACGCAGTCAGGATCCAGCTGAATGTCTGCAATTAATTGCCTAAAAGGCAAGCAGCACATGGTTCGTTCTTTACATACCTGCATGTGCATCACCTGCCATGTTCTGTGCTAGCACACGACTCGGCTGCGCAGATTTGCAAAGGCAAACTAAGAGAACATCGTTTTGGGAAAGCATGCAGCCCATTTCTCAGGCAGCTTGAACCCTTTAGCCCCGTAGCAGTACGAAAGCACCTGGGGAATTGCGGCATCATCCCATAGGTCACCCATAGGCATGGCAGCCAAATGAGACACCACAAGATCTTCGTTGATGTTGCAGGAAACGCTGTGGTGGATAGCCGGGGAGCTGTTGAAGGTCGGCAGGAGGCTGGCCATGTGTTTGCCAAACTCAGCGGTGTAAGTCCTTAAAAACAAATAAAGGGCAAGGCTGTTTGATTTAAGGGTGTTGGACTAGCATGGTGCGTCTGAAAAAGCATAGCGTGTCAGTAACAAATAAGGCCGCATCTGGGTTTCTTTCAAAGCAGTGCTTCCAGTATAGGCAGGCTTACCAGTGCGCTTATTTATGGTTTGATGACAGTCTGCACATGCCCATGCTTTCGGCGCTGTTCCTCCTTGAAATTGTTGGTCAACTTCCCCTTGTCGAACTTGTTGATGAAGCGGTTGCTGCTCCAAAGAACGCTCCGTTTTGGACAAACATGGTTATAATGCATCATCCAGAACTTGCAAACAAAGACCTCGCAGGGCCATATGACAATACTGGAGTTTTTAAGCGCAAGCCTACGTTTTGGGGTAGTTGCGGGATTGCGTGCTACAGAGGACTACAGGGAGGGTAGCTAGTTTGACCACAAGTAATTCCCTGCTGCTTTTCAATAATCTTCTTTGCAGACATCAGGCCCGGTGGGTTGTGCATAACCATTGAAAACGCGGATGGCGCCAGCACAGAGAGCTAATTGGCTGCTCTAGCACCCATGAAGCTCCCATCGATATGCATAGGAGGGAAATTAACACTGTCCTGGCGGTAGGCCAAGGTTCAGGCAAGGTTACAAATCAGATTGACAGGTCACATGGAAGTTGGGGAAGGACATTCATTTATTCAAGAACCCATCAGTCCGTGACAGCATCAAATTTCCCAAGGCCACACAGGGTCGCGACTCCAAGCCTAGCGGATTAAGCCAAGAGCGCAGGGTCGTCGCTCTCGAAATGCTGACCCAGCTGCTGCAAAGCATTCCCTGCCACAGGGTGAATCCTTCTGGTGCTCCTTTCAGCACGCTGATCAGGTGAAGCCTAAGCACATGACCATTTATTGGGAAATACCATACAACTAGTTATAGGATAAGCTAGTCCCGCAACAACTGAGACCCTGTCGCCATCCCAGCTTCCGTTGAGATATCCATTGCGCGGTCATATTTCAGATCAAGGCACGCAGTTGGTACAGCACAGCACTTGCTAACCTCATTTGTCATGGCGGCAGCGCCAGCATAGTGCTCCAGGAACTGGTAGCCCTGCAAACAAGGAGAAAGCTTGTTGGGTTTAATGCAACCGTTTGCTCATCTGGCTCACATGTTTGAACAAACTGTTCAGCGTCAGGTAAATAGAGTGTGCGTGCGTGATCATAGCCTGATCAATGTTCAACCTCTCGTTGAAGACGAGGCACACAATGATGAGGATGAAAGCCTGCGCGGTAGCAACGTGTGCCCCATGCAGGGCCTCAATAATTGACTTTAAGGAAGGGCCACATGGGGTCTAATCGCAATTACACAGACTCTGCGGAACTCCTGAGATTCATTGCGCAAACTGAGTGAACCCACTATACCAAAACCTCAACCTCGGAGCCCCAAACCCGGGAAAGCTAGAAGCAGCATGAGTCACTCGGAAATTTCTGACAGATTTAGTTTGGATAGACGGGAATTATGAACAACCCCCCAAGCCCTTTATCTCTCCGGAGCCTTCGGGGCACCAAGCCTGATCAGGTTGTGAACCATTGGCACGAGCTTCGGACGCACCATGATTTAGGCAGGGCCCTGCGTGTTTCAAGCAAGCCAAAACCTGCTGGCGACGATAGAAAGCTTGCAACATGAGCTCGGCAGAGTGGCATAGCGCGTGTCCCCAGAGTGTGTAGGAGACATGAGGCATCGGTTTGCAAACTTGTCGTTATAAACCATTTCTATGCTCACTGACTGCCGCGCCTGTTTCCGACGAGGCATCGGAGTCGTATTGACGAAGAGCACGAATGGCCAAGCTGGCCATGACCTGTTCGAGGGGAAAAAATGTTGACCGCTACTTTGGGTGAATGCTCTTACGCGCTCCAAGCTTCCATTGCACTTCCCAGTTGAACATGCCTATGTAAACAGAGTTGCAGAAAATGATGTAACCTTTTCAGACGGCGGCGTTGTTGAGGCACAGCACCTTTGTGCAGTTCTGATGCATCCAGGTGGAATGATAACCGGCCTAGCTGCTGACGGGGCAACCATGGTCAAAGCTTTCCGTACTGTGTATGCGATATTCTGATAGTCACCCCCTCCACTTACTGTAAAGTGGCTGCGCCGTCTGGAGCACAGGGCCCCGTAGACATGTCAGTCAAAATCTACGCACGAATGACGACCCCTTTCATCATCCATGCAAGCACACACTCGAAACAGCTTTGTACCACATGTCCTGGACACGTGTTCGTGTAGAAAGCAATCAGTGCGACTAGCCCTTCCAAATCCACGCTTCCA